GTGTGAGTTTTGCCGAACAGTGAAGAGACGTGGACGTGTTTATGTTCTGTGTACTGCTAATCCCAAGCACAAGCAGCGGCAGGGCATCTCCACATTTGCGTACCAAGGCCTGATACCACCAGCGTACGTTTTCTCGAGGTTTCATCCTTCAGTTATTCATAGTTTTGAGTCAAGTAGATTGTTAAATTTATGCATTTGCTTTGAGATAAGTGGTAGGTGGGACCCGTTTTCTGAGCATTAGAGAGAGGTATATGATTTAATTGTTGATGTGTTAGCCTGCTCTTAAAAATCTTATGAAGTTCACAGTTTGATGGCAACTGATGCTGATTAGGATTCTTCTAAAAAAAAGATCAGAAAGAAAAAGGAGAAGGAAGTTTATGTTGTGTAGACATCAAAAGAGTTCCTTTGTTCTTTCTTTCTTTCTTTTTTTGTAGCCCCCCTCATAGGACCTTATTTGACAATATATACAAATGCTAATCCCCAACTTATTGTATGGCTGGCTGCCTTTAAATTTATGTTTTTGCAATGTGAATTGCAGGTCCTTAACGGCAAACTCGAAGGAGATGACATCATTTGCTGCTGATGGTGCCAAAAGTGGTTTGCCTTCACTCATATCCCACAAGAATGACGCATTTACTGTGACACCTTGGTGGAAAGTTGGTCTTGTCTCTCGTCTGTTCAATCAGAGCAGCAACCAGTAGTGCATTTTAGTGGTGGAATGAACTGCGAAGAAAAGAATTTTAGAAATTATGTAGCTGAGTTTCTGTTGTTTCAACTTCATTGTGTTCTATTCTCATTTCTTGTTTTCGTGTCATGCTTCTAAGACATTATTGTTATTTGATTGCGTGAGGTAATCCTTGATTTGGTTTTCAACAATAAGGATTTGACTAACCATTTTGAAACTGTCTCCTGGTGATTGAATAGAAGGCTTTTGGGTTACATTATCTTATTTTGGTTTGCTGAGATGAATACTAAGCTGGATTAACCTAAATGATATCTTATATCGCTAGATGAATTGTTTCATGTTCGGGGGATTTCCTGTTGAAACGACAGAAACTATTTTAGTTTCAATCAAAATCAAATGCTATCTATTTTAGTTTCAATAACACGGAATATTTCATCACTTTATTTATTATGAACTCCACATGTAATACATGCCTTACCTGAGAAAGGATACATTACCTGAGAAAGGATACATAAAACCAACATCTTTTATTGTTTTCATGTGAGAAGTTTGGGCTATGTTAGCTCAGCATCTTTTATTGTTTTCATAATGAGAAGTTTGAGGCTATGTAAGTTTGGTCCGAATGGTATGTATTAATCTTATAGAGACGAGGATGGGATTTTGGTCCACGTTTAGTGCAAAAGTAAAATGAAAAGCTGGCAATTCCAGTTGTATTCAAGTTCATTGGTTGAATTGCTTTCCTATAGTTTGCCACTAATATTTAGCTTATCAACATGTTAAGTTCTAAAAGCATAGTTTTTGCAGTGGTTTAACAACATATGAATCCAGCAAACCTCATTATGGGCATG